ATGAGGGGCAAGAAGAAAAGTAGACCAAAAGTTAGGAACAAAGTTAAACGGTGTAACTCCACTGCCTTCATTGGATTTAGCACTGATTTGTACTAGTGTAAGTGAGATCAGAATCAGGCCCTGAATGTGGAAATATACCTAGTAGCTCCAGAGCTACTGTAACTACTTAATTGCAGAAAGTTTTTCTTAAACAAGAGTAACAATTCAGAGTATTTGTGCTGTGAAAGAACAATAGACTTTTTATCTGTGTGCATGAACAATAACCCATTCCTTTTAGAATCATGTTTCCATAAGGAAAAACGGATTTCTTCTAAGTAACTGTTGGCTTGGAATCATTTGACATGGGGTATTTTGCATGCATTTCGTGGAGAGTATCATTAAAATCATGTGATGGTCTATTAGCATTGCCACCTACTATCACAAAGAGGCATGTCATTCACCCCTAGAGATAACTTTTAAAAGTGAATGTAGAATGTTCATGTGTGCTGATCCAACTTAGAAGTCTGTCATGGTCAATTTAAAAAAGAAAATACAGAATCTAATGAAGCTTCCCAACCACCATTCCTGGGAACAACAAAGTAAGCATGCAAGCCAGACTGCTCTTTGTTGTTTATTTTTATATAGTGGCTGGATGAAATTATTTCTTCTTTTTATAGGAGAAGAAAAGTCTGGCATATGGTGTCATTTACAATTCATATGCCTTTCATTTTCTCTTCCATTTATCCATCTTTAAAGCAATGTTTGTTATGGTGTAAAGGATTGTAACTGTATTTAAGAAATTCATATGATGATATGGTACAGTAGGGTGACATTGCTATCTGCTTTGGAAACAATATGGGTCATGAAGTTTGACTGGATAAAGCTCATGTTCTAGTGACAGTAAAGTTTGATTCTAATAATTCTCCCTTAGCAAGACATGCAGCAGCACTTATAGCAGGGCATCTTCATTGCTCACACACAGCTTGTTCATAATGATTTGAGAAATCATTAACAGATTGTGCCTGCCCACTCACAGAATGTCTTTACTTTAGCTACCTCTAAGGTGGAAAGTGATAGTAAGGTGACACTGTATTTTTGAAGCTTTTAAGGCTGTAGACCCTGACTCTATTCAATATCTTTGAACATTGCTCTGATACTTACCTATGCTTACATTCGACCTGTCTTTTAGAGATTCTACCATTGCTTCTTAGTTCAGGAGGTGATTATGTCTTTGCTTGGGGAGCCTTGGTAGTAAAACTTGATCCTCCCGTATGACTGCAGCGGGAGCAGAGGTAGGCCAGCATGGCACGCTTTTGAAAATCCCACCCTTCGTGTGTTTTTAGAAAGGTATTTGGATTGTGCTGCATCACATTCTCAGCAGCTGGTGGGGGGGAGTGTGTATAGAAATACAAATATTGTTCTTATGATCATCTGGTTACCTGTGTAATATTTTGATACCTCATCATAGAGAGTTGAAAAGTAATTCAGTAATAAGGAATATGGTGCCACCAAAATCTTCCTGCAAACATGTTCTATATACTTCCTTGGATATTTCTACATCTCTTGTCTCCTGAAAACAGTCTGGGCCAAATTCAGCTCTGGGGTAAGTGGGGCCAACTCCAGCAGTGTCAGTAATGTATTCAATCATTTTGCCAAGATTTTACACAATTGTTAATTTTATTGTTGTTTGACTGGAGGAGCCAAGAGAACAGCTTGCCTGTCTTTCAGCCATGCACAATATGCAGGCTCAGTGAAGTATTTCATGTTGGTTACATCTTTTCTGCATGTTAAGAATGGCTTCATGTCAAAAGGTGACATTGTTACTGCAGTGAGCCTGGGCTTACATAAGAGAGATAATGAGGCCTGCCCCCCAAGGATATCCCAAGAGATGAGTATTTTGTTTTGTCCATTAAGAATGGAACCAGCTATCCTGAAAGTCCCAGGAGCCTGGTATTGGCGGGCTAGTTGAGTTTGAGCCAAGCTGTTGATTTGTGGACTTCTGAGTTATAATGAACCATATTTTTAACAAAGTCACTGTTGGTTTACATCTGACAAATGGAACCAAATGTTTCCATGAAAGAAACACTATGATAACATTTCCTTTGAGAGCATGATCCAATGTCCATTCAAGTCAATGGAAAGACTCCCATTGAGTTCAGTGGGCTTTGGATTACATCCCAAGTGGGGAGGGGTGAAAACAAAGCAAGCTCAGTTTACTCAGAGTCTGGTCTTATTTCAGAATTCTGTAGAGCCTTGTTCATTCACATTCCTCTAATCCACAAACCTGATTGCTCCATCAAATACCCCACTCCAAAATCCCAATGAACAGGGGTTTGCTATATATAATTTTATTAGAACATAGTTGACATGGTAATGGGCATACCATTGATACATAGAGAGATAACAATAGGTGAGATTAAGTCTTGTTCTACATCTCTGCAAAGATTTTATAGCCAAATCTGTAGTAAGGTTCCTTATTACTAAGACTTCATTACTTTTACAAAATGGTCTCCAGAATATTTATTACTATATCAGGACCTATTGCCTACATCAAAACAAATGAAAAATTAAACTTTGTGATTCAGTATCCTTGGTTGCTTCTGTTAAATATGTTTGTTTTCATAAGCAATAATTTGCAATATTTGGAAATTCTCAATAGGCCTTCCATTCTTGAATATGAATTAGCTAGATTCTGCTATATTTGGCAACATTGCATTTTAACTCTCATCCGTGACATTCCAGACACCTAGCTATTTTGCATTTAATAATTTATCCACTTGGACACTCATTTTTAAAAAAAGAAAAAAAGAGATCATTAAAAAAATTCAAATTATGATATAATGTTTAAATGTGTGAATAAAGTTAAAAATACTCACACTCCACTCTTTAACCCTGTGATAGGGTTCTGATATTAAGAAATCTTTAAATATTACACATAAGAGGCTAAAGTATGGCATAGGTATGTTTTGAGCTTGTAAAATGTGGTAACTCATCCCTCTATGAATTACTGTACATACTACCCCCATAGTTTTGTTGTCTCATTCCCCCCCCTTACACTCTCTCTCTAGGACCGCTATGACCCCCCCCCCCACATTAGGTTTTGGGGAAAAAACTGCAGAGATGAGCCAGCCACAGACTCCAGCTGGTAGGAACAGAAGCGGTCAAGGAAGGGACTACCGGGCATTCAGGGAACTTCCTATAGTGTTGACTGGACTTTCTTCATCCTGTGCTGATAGGCTGTTTGCTCCAATCCACCCCTTCCCTCACAGTCTTTTTACCTCTGCTTCACTGCACACCTGTCTCTCTTACCCTCTTCTTCCCTGCCCTGTCCCCTTCACCTCCCTTTCCAGCTTATCCTCACCTAAGAATGAACACAAACACACACACACAGAACTATGGAACTAACATACCACTTGCTGCCATCACACAGTTCGCTTTGCTCGTGTGGTCTACCTCTTCCCCCACCCTATGTCTGTCTGGTCTATTCAGATTTGTAAGATCTTCAGGGCAAGGACTATCTACTACTCTGGGTTTGTGCAGACCCAGCACAGTCGGCCCCCATTCTTGGCTGGCCATTAGGCACTGCTGGAGTAAACATGATTGATTCTAATAAATTCAGTTTCCTCGCTGCTGCATAAAAACAAAGCTCAAAATGTTCAAACTACAGTGGCTGTAGGTAGGCGCCTAATTCCATATTTTGGCTTTTGTAAAAAATGGCCTGATATTCAGAGGTTCTGTGCGCCCTTGGCAATGAGAGTTGCAGGTGAACAGTATCTTTGAAGATCAGGCCCCTTCTTTTAGGGGCTTCAGTATGGATCTAAGTGCCTAGCACTGAGGTTTGAAAATTTTGGTCTAAGAAATCAGACTTTAGGCAAGTATCTCCTGTTTGGATGAATGAAATCCTTCCCCACAGCTGCTGGAAGGGCTGCAGAGCTGCAATATCACCTGTCCACTGCTGCTACACTAGCCTATGAGCTGGAATAACAGCTGCAGCTCCTCTGTGACACCCATTGGTAGGGGGTTAGAAAGTGGATCCATTTAGGATTGGATACCATGACCTGCTTTCAACGGGCTCCCTCCATACCAGGGCAATTTGGCAGGTGCAGATTATTCTACCGTTAGCTACCCCTATGTAACTCCACTGAAATCAACTGCAGACAGAATTCATCTCTAATGATACGACAGTGTCATTATTGAGACAATCATTTTCATCAGTGCTGTGAAATCAATGAGGTTCACAGGTGTGTTTGAGGGCAGAATTATGTCCTATATTTTTAAGAGTGATAACTTCCTGTTAACTGGTGCTTTAAATCCAAATTTATTATTGCACTTGAGTTTACCAAACTCTGTGCTTGAAAATTTTAATGATGAGGTAAATTTCTAACCATTTTGTTCTATTAAATAGAAACTTGAGCTGCACAGAGTTCTAAATAAGCCCATGTTAAGTATTCTGGGGTTTCTTGTGCTGAACGTGAGTCAGATTACTTAAAACTTCCTCTTAGTCAGTTTCTTCCCAAGTGCCGAGTTTTGAAATAGGCTTTTCTTACTCAGAATACAATTATTCAGGAGAAAGTACATGTACAATTTTGTAAAACCACAAACATTCACAGATTCCACTGTGAGCTCTACTGTTGGTTTATAAGTATGCTATAATAAATGGTTGTTTAATAGCTTTGTAGGACTGGCCTAAATTCAAATGAAAAACATTTCCCTGAGAGGTTTGCTGGTGGGAATGTGGTTGAGGCCATATCAAGAGGAAGCGTTGTTTTTACCTTTGCAGATATATTGTATGCTATTTCTAGTCCAGTGTTGTCATAGATATTTAATGTTTCTAATCCTTTTGACATAGATATTGAGCTGAAAGCTGTTTCCGAAAATGATTAATCAAGTTCTAAGAAGTTCACTACTGACACACAATTATTTTACCAGATACAGTATGTGGTTCAAAGTAAGAGAGACATTGTCAGTGTCATCTTGGGCAAAGCATGACCGTGTTAAACCCCTGATTTTTTCTTCTTAAGGACAGAAAATGACGCTGAAGCAGAATCTCCTGTACAGCTGGATGATTTAAAATCTGTTATGAATGAAAACGAAGAGGATGAAAAGCTTCAAGTTAAAATACAGGCTTTTGAAGAAAAAATAAATGTTGACAACAGTACTCCTGGCTCTGTGCGTAGATATAGTTTAGGCCAGGTTTCTAAAGAAGAAAGGAAGGATATGAGATTTAACAGGTATGATTACGTAAAATGCATGAGTGGCTTTCATGCATATCAGTCTTTCAGTAAAGCTTTATCCAAATATTAAGGGAATAGTTCAATTATAGTATACCTGTGGGCACCATGAGTCTAATTCTAACCAGATCTCTTGTCAGGGTGTCTCAGAGCTGGGTAAGATCTTTCTAACTACGTATTTAACCTGGCCTAACATGACAAGAGAGAAGGAAGAGGAACATGTTTGTTTTCAGAACACTCTAGAACAGTGGTTCTCCACCAGGGGTATGCATACCCTGAGGGTATGCAGAGGTATTCCAGGGGGTACATCAACTCATCTAGATATTTGTCTAGTTTTACAAAAGGCTACATGAAAAGACTAGCAAATTCAGTACAAACTAACATTTCATACAGACAATGACTTGTTTATACTGCTCTATGCCCTGGTCTACACTAGGACTTTAGGTCGAATTTAGCAGCGTTAAATCGATGTAAACCTGCACCCGTCCACACGATGAAGCCCTTTATTTTGACTTAAAGGGCTCTTAAAATCGATTTCCTTACTCCACCCCTGACAAGTGGATTAGCGCTTAAATCAGCCTTGCCGGGTCGAATTTGGGGTACTGTGGACACAATTCGACGGTATTGGCCTGCGGGAGCTATCCAGAGTGCTCCATTGTGACCGCTCTGGACAGCACTCTCAACTCAGATGCACTGGCCAGGTAGACAGGAAAAGAACTGCGAACTTTTGAATCTCATTTCCTGTTTGGCCAGCGTGGCAAGCTGCAGGTGACCATGCAGAGCTCATCAGCAGAGGTGACCATGATGGAGTCCCAGAATCGCAAAAGAGCTCCATCATGGACCAAACGGGAGGTACGGGATCTGACCGCTGTATGAGGAGAGGAATCCGTGCTATCAGAACTCCGGTCCAGTTTTCGAAATGCCAAAACCTTTGTCAAAATCTCCCAGGGCATGAAGGACAGAGGCCATAACAGGGATCCGAAGCAGTGCCGCGTGAAACTTAAGGAGCTGAGGCAAGCCTACCAGAAAACCAGAGGGGCGAACGGCCGCTCCAGGTCAGAGCCCCAAACATGCCACTTCTATGATGAGCTACATGCCATTTTAGGGGGTTCAGCCACCACTACCCCAGCTGTGTTTTTTGACTCCTTCAATGGAGATGGAGGCAACACGGAAGCAGGTTTTGGGGACGAAGAAGATGATGATGATGAGGTTGTAGATAGCTCACAGCAAGCAAGCGGAGAATTGACAGCCAGGAACTGTTTCTCACCCTGGACATGGAGCCAGTACCCCCTGAACCCACCCAAGGCTGCCTTCTGGACCCGGCAGGCGGAAAAGGGACCTCCGGTGAGTGTACCTTTTAAAATACTATACATGGTTTAAAAGCAAGCATGTGAAAGGATTAATTTGCCCTGGCATTCGCGGCCCTCCTGGATGTACTCCCAAAGCCTTTGCAAAAGGTTTCTAGGGAGGGCAGCCTTATTGCGTCCTTCATGGTAGGACACTTTACCACTCCAGGCCAGTAACACGAACTCGGGAATCATTGTACAACAAAGCATTGCAGTGTATGTTTGCTGGCGTTCAAACAACATCTGTTCTTTATCTCTCTGTGTTATCCTCAGGAGAGTGATGTCATTCATGGTCACCTGGTTGAAATAGGGTGCTTTTCTTCAGGGGACACTCAGAGGAGCCCGTTCCTGCTGGGCTGTTTGCCTGCAGCTGAACAGAAATGTTCCCCGCTGTTAGCCATGGGGAGGGGGGAAGGGTTGAGGGGGTAGCCACACGGTGGGGGGAGGCAAAATGCGACCTTGTAACGAAAGCACATGTGCTATGCATGTAATGTTAACAGCAAGGTTTACCCTGAAAGACTGTAGCCACTGTTTTATAAAATGTGTCTTTTTAAATACCGCTGTCCCTTTTTTTTTCTCCACCAGCTGCATGTGTTTCAATGATCACAGGATCTTCTCCTTCCCAGAGGCTAGTGAAGATTAGAAAGGAAAAAAAAATGCACTCGTGATGAAATGTTCTCTGAGCTCATGCTGTCCTCCCACACTGACAGAGCACAGACGAATGCGTGGAGGCAAATAATGTCAGAGTGCAGGAAAGCACAAAATGCCCAGGAGGAGAGGTGGCGGGCTGAAGAGAGTAAGTGGCGGGCTGAAGAGAGTAAGTGGCGGGCTGAAGAGAGGGCTGAAGCTCAAATGTGGCGGCAGCATGATGAGAGGAGGCAGGATTCAATGCTGAGGCTGCTGGAGGATCAAACCAGTATGCTCCAGTGTATGGTTGAGCTGCAGCAAAGGCAGCTGGAGCACAGACTGCCACTACAGCCCCTGTGTAACCAACCGCCCTCCTCCCCAAGTTCCATAGCCTCCACACCCAGACACCCAAGAACGCGGTGGGGGGGCCACTGGCCAACCAGCCACTCCACCACAGAGGATTGCCCAAAAAAAAAAGAAGGCTGGCATTCAATAAATTTTAGAGTTGTAAACTTTTAAAGTGCTGTGCTTAAAGTGCTGTGTGGCATTTTCCTTCCCTCCTCCACCACCCCTCCTGGGCTACCTTGGTAGTCATCCCCCTATTTGTGTGATGAATGAATAAAGAATGCATGAATGTGAAGCAACAGTGACTTTATTGCCTCTGCAAGCGGTGATCGAAGGGAGGAGAGGAGGGTAGAGTGAACCAAGGGGCGGGGGATTTCATCAAGGAGAAACAAAGAGAACTTTCACACCATAGCCTGGCCAGTCATGAAACTGGTTTTGAAAGCTTCTCTGATGCGTACCGCACCCTCTTGTGCTCTTCTAACCGCCCTGGTGTCTGGCTGTGCGTAACCAGCAGCCAGGCGATTTGCCTCAACCTCCCACCCCGCCATAAACGTCTCCCCCTTACTCTCACAGATATTGTGGAGCACACAGCAAGCAGTAATAACAGTGGGAATATTGGTTTTGCTGAGGTCTAAGCGAGTCAGTAAACTGCGCCAGCGCGCCTTTAAACGTCCAAATGCACATTCTACCACCATTCTGCACTTGCTCAGCCTGTAGTTGAACAGCTCCTGACTACTGACCAGGCTGCCTGTGTACGGCTTCATGAGCCATGGCATTAAGGGGTAGGCTGGTCCCCAAGGATAACTATAGGCATTTCAACATCCCTAGCAGTTATTTTAATAAAGTCCCTTCCTGCAGCTTTTGAAACAGATCAGAGTTCCTGAAGATGCGAGCGTCATGTACCTTTCCTGGCCATCCCACGTTGATGTTGGTGAAATGTCCCTTGTGATCCACCAGAGCTTGCAGCACTATTGAAAAGTACCCCTTGCGGGGTATGTACTTGCCGGCTTGGTGCTCCGGTGCCAAGATAGGGATAAGGGTTCCGTCTATGGTCCCACCACAGTTAGGGAATCCCATTGCAGCAAAGCCATCCACTATGACCTGCACATTTCCCAGGGTCACTACCCTTGATATCAGCAGATCTTTGATTGCATGGGCTACTTGCATCACAGCAGCCCCCACAGTAGATTTGCCCACTCCAAATTGATTTCCAACTGACCGGTAGCTGTCTGGCATTGCAAGCTTCCACAGGGCTATCGCCACTTGCTTCTCAACTGTGAGGGTTGCTCTCATCTTGGTATTCATGCGCTTCAGGGCAGGGGAAAGCAAGTCACAAAGTTCCATGAAAGTGCCCTTACGCATGCGAAAGTTTTGCAGCCACTGGGAATCGTCCCAGACCTGCAACACTATGCGGTCCCACCAGTCTGTGCTTGTTTCCCGAGCCCATAATCGGCGTTCCACAGCATGAACCTGCCCCATTAGCACCATGATGCATGCATTGGCAGGGCCCATGCTTTCAGAGAAATCTGTGTCCATGTCCTGATCACTCACGCGACCGCGGTGACGTCGCCTACTCGCCCGGTATCGCTCTGCCAAGTTCTGGCGCTGCATATACTGCTGGATAATGCGTGTGGTGTTTAATGTGTTCCTAATTGCCAAAGTGAGCTGAGCGGCCTCCATGCTTGCCTTGGTATGGCGTCTGCACAGAAAAAAGGCGCGGAACAATTGTCTGCCGTTGCTCTGACGGAGGCAGGGGCGACTGACGACACGGCTTACAGGGTTGGCTTCAGGGAGCTAAAATCAACATAGGGGGTGGCTTTACATCAAGGAGTATTTCAGGCAGGACTTCACGGAGGGTTCCAATAAGAAATGGTGCACCTAAGTTATTGTTCTTATATGAACAAGGAGGTTAGTCTGGCCTCTGATTGATACGTGGCTAGATTTACCTCGCTGCACCTTCCCTGTGAGTGACTGCAGTGTGACCTAGAGGAATGAGTCCCCTAGACTGGGGGGTGGGGGGTGGGAGGGGAAGCAAATGAGTACAAAACAAATCTGGTCTATTTCTTGTTTTGATACACTCCATCTATCTTTTACATCTTTGGCTGGCAGCAGACGGTGCAGAAGGACTGCATGCCATCCACATCTCATGGCTGCCCGGCAGAAGATGGTACAATACGACTGCTAGCAATCCATATCGCCTGCCTGCTCACCATAACATGGTTCAATAGGACTGACTGCAGGACTAAAGAGAATGACTTGATCAAGTCACTCCAAATTTAGTCCCTGCACCCATGTCTGTCCAGGCGCTCCCGGCCGACGCGGCCAGGAGCACCTCAGACATGACGATGATGGCTACCAGTCCTATTGCACCATCTGCTGCCACAAGGCAATGGGTTGCTGCTACTGTGTAGCAATGCAGTACCTCGTCTGCCAGCACCCAGGAGACATAGGGTGACGGTTACCTGAGCAGGCTCCATGCTTGCCGTGGTATGGCGTCTGCACAGATAACTCAGGGAAAAAGGCCCAAAACGATTGTCTGCCCTTGCTTTCACGGAGGGAGGGAGGGAACGGGGGCCTGAGGATATGTACCCAGAACCACCCGCGGCAATGTTTTAGCCCCATCAGGCATTGGGATCTCAACCCAGAATTCCAATGGGCAGCGGAGACTGCGGGAACTGTGGGATAGCTACCCACAGTGCAACGCTCCAGAAGTCGACTCTAGCCTCGGTACTGTGGAAGCGCTCCGCCGAGTTAATTCACTTAATGCACTTAGAGCATTTTCTGTGGGGGGACACACACTCGAATATATAAAACCGATTTCTAAAAAACTGACTTCTATAAATTCGACCTAATTTTGCAGTGTAGACATACCCATACTATATACTATATTAGTGTTTCTCAGTCTGGTGGGTTGCAATTTATTTTATAATTACATGATAAAAATGAGAAAGTAAGCAATTTTTCTGTACTAGTGTGCTGTGACACTTTATTTTTATGTCTGACTTTTAAGCAAGTGAGGTGAAACTTGGGGTACACAAGACAAATCTACCTCTTGAAAGGGGTACAGCAACACAAATCCAGGTTATCTCCCCCCCCCCCAACAAACACTCTTCTGCTGGTAATAGCTTATGTAAAGTGATCCCTCTCCTTACAATGTGCATGATAATCAAGGTGGGCCATTTCCAGCACAAATCCAGGGTTTAACAAGAACGTCTGAGGAAGGGGGGGTGGTGGAAAAAACAAGGGGAAATAGATAAGCTATTACCAACAGGAGAGTGTTTGTTGTCGGGGGGGCGTGGGGGGGGGAGATAACTTGGATTTGTGCTGGAAATGGCCCACCTTGATTATCATACACATTGTAAGGAGAGGGATCACTTTACATAAGCTATTACCAGCAGGAGAGTGGGGTGGGGTAGAGAAAACCTTTTGTAGTGATAATCACCCATTTTTTCATGGTTTGTGTGTATATAAACATCTTCTGTACTTTCCACAGTATGCATCCGATGAAGTGAGCTGTAGCTCACGAAAGCTTATGTTCAAATAAATTGGTTAGTCTCTAAGGTGCCACAAGTACTCCTTTTCTTTTTGCTCTAGAAATGAAGATTCAAAGAACTCTCCTGGATACTAATAGTAGCAACTCTAACTAGTTTAGATAATATATTTGTATCAATATTTGGGGTCATATTATGCCCTCAGTTACTCTGGATTGATACTTTGTGTCAAGTTAAGCTTGATTCTGATTAGACCCTTTGTGTGTTGGGACCAAGCACAGCCCAAAGAACTTGCAACTAGGATGTACCCCTAGGACATGCAGGCCTCACCAGTTCTAGTGGGATGTTTACTGCTCATGCTGCAATGTTGCATGGGTGCAGCATTACACATTTCATACTGACTTAGAGTTCTGTGGTGAAAACTTGAGCCTTTGGGGAATTTGGACATCTTCTCTCCTAGGACCTGTCATAGGTTCCATCCTCCTCCTGTTTAACAGGGAACCTATGCCCACTTTTCTCCTAATTCTCTCCAGAGACACATGTACCAGTTGTGTGCGCATTTGCTGTTCCCCAGCTCCCCTTTAAGGACTACAGTTTCCCATGTTGGGGAAGGAGTGGTGGAGAAGGATGCCCATTGAGGGCTTGATTCTCCATTGCCTTCCACCTTTGCACTCATATACAACTGTTCAGAGTGTAAAATGGTGCCAAATCAGAATTCTTCACTCACATCAGTAGTAGAATTTTATACCTCATTTACTCTGGTGCAAATGACTATACAAGAGAGTGGAGAACCAGTTCCTGAATGTTGGGGCTTGTGGTGAAGGTGGCCCAGCTGAAGGACTTTGGAGAGAACTCCAGATTTGCTTGAACCACTGCTGGATGGTATAATTTTATAATGTGATTGATAGACTGGATACTGAGATATTATAGTGATGAGTGATAGATACACTGGTGCATTCTCTAATGTGCATATGTTTTGATATATAGATATTGTTGTCTGACTTCTTTCACTTACTACAGTTGTGGTTTGATTTGGGTTCTGAGTACCTGTTTTTGAAATACAGGTTTATTAAAAGCTATTCGTATTTGCCCACCAACAGGATATTTAGGCCCAAATTCTGCTCTGAGTTGCACCAAAGCAGCTTCACAGATGTAAATGAGAGCAGAATTTGGCCAGAAATCTTATCTGATTCTTCAGCATGCTGCAGCCCATCTTACCTCTATCACAAACCATTTGTCTTTCCCTTTATTTGCATTGCAGGTCCAAAAGTCTAGCTTTGCATGCAATCCGTACAAAGGGGATGAATTCAGACAATGGACAAGACATGGACAATGGAGATATAGCAGCTGGCATCTCTTTCACAGAAATGTATCTTAGCCAAGAAAATGACAAATTGCCTCTTAGTCCAGACACTGAAGAATCGCAGCTGGAAAATTCTTCAGTTTCACACCCAAGTATCAAATGTACAGAATTAGAAAATTTGCCAGAATCTGTTGAAGAAAACTGCCATGAAGGAAGTACAGAGACAATAAAAAATCCGGTGGAATATCAGGATAAGCTCTACTTGCACTTAAAGGAAAATCTTAGTAAAGTGAAAGCATATGTCATGGAGATTGGGAAGAAAATTCCTAGCCCAGATCAGTGTATTATTGAAGGTAAGAGCTCTGAACCTTTCAAATTAAGGGAATCTTAAAGGAACAGTTTAAAACAAGAACAAAACCCTTCAGTACTCATGCAAACTTTTAGGTAAGATTCTCTAAGCAGGAGCTCTTATGTTGGATGAAACATGTTTTTACACAACAATGTTGTTATAAACTACAGCATTTTGAACCTTCTTTCATAGGTTTTGTCCTTTCCTTCAGCAATATTGTGCATCCTTCAGAGGCCCCAAGCTGGCAGTCCTCACACACCCAAAACTCCCTTTGAAGTTAATGTAATATTGTGCAAAGAATGCTGGATTGGGCTCAGGGTAAGGGTTTGATTCTCCTCTTACATCAGGGTAAATCAGTGTAGCTAATAGAGTTACACGAGGGTAGGTCAGAAAAGAATCAGATCCAGAATCTCAAATAAAGATGTTCTGTTCCACTACGCTCTGATTCAAAGCCCACTAGAAGTCAGTGGAAAGACTCCCAATGGGATTTGAATTAGGCCCCTATTTACCATTGCCTCAGAACTCTATAATGATTCTCAGTTTCATCATGCAGAGTCAGTGGATAGTGTTGGGATCCCCCCTTCCCCATCCTCCCCCCAAGACCTCTTTCTACTTGGCTTCCCAAACACTCAGTTCAACTCCACATTTTATCACTCAGGTATTTTTATTTGGCATACAGCAAAGCAACAGTGAGTGGACCAGAGAACTAGATAAATTCATGGAGGATAGATCCATCAATGGCAATTAGTTGGGATGGGCAGGGATGGTGTCCCTAGCTGGGAATGGGAGAAAGAGGATGGATCACTTGATTACCTGTCCTGTTCTGTTCATTCCCTCTGAAGCACCTGGCATTGGCCGCTGTCGGAAGACAGGATACGGGCTAGATGACCCTTTGGTGTGACTCAGTATGGCCATTCTTATATTCTTATGACTCAGACAGGGGGTGAATGCAGGATACATCACACAACCAAAGTTACACAGCACAGTTTGCACAGTTACTCTTCATTTATATATGTTTACACATATCATTGCATTTAGTATTCATTGCATCACACGTTTTGGATTGACTTGGTTATTTTGTAGGAACCAATCCCTGTACTGCATGTTCTGTCCACAGACTTTCCATGCATGACTTACTTTTTAGTTCATCTTTGGATTCTGGATTTACCTTGTCCATTATTATTTTTTTCTTTGTAAATGGTTCCCTGGATGTTCCCTCCCCTTATCTTAGCTAGTTCAGACATTCTGTCACTCAGCTTATTGACCCATTTGCCTATCTTAGTTAGCACGGACATTGTGTTCTCATTATTTACCTCCCTAATCCTGTCTTCCAAGAAGTGAGGCCTTTGCTATGTTCAAGTATTCATGTCAAGCCAGGTCTACAGATAATTGTTTTCAAGAACTTGATAGCCAATAATGAAATAGGGCCTGATCCTGTGAGGCCCCGGTGGAGGTGCTCCCTACCCTGCAGGATTGGTCTCAGTGCATTACTCCTTTTCAAATTAAAATTCTTAAAGGCCAGATTGTGAATAGAGCTGAGTGAACAATTGATTTTTTCGGTTCAGTGGCCAAACCCCGGGGTAGGGGGGGAGGGGGAATGAGACCCTAACAAACAGTTCATTTCAGACCCAAACTGATTTTTTTCTTTGCTTTTTCTTGCTGCAAAAAACCCCAACCCCTTATTCAGGCTGAATGAAATGTTTCAAATGTCAATTTGAATTGAAACTTCATGTTAAAACAACTGTATCTAAACAAAACATCAACAGGATTCATTTTGAAAATCTTTCAAGACTTCAAAAAAAATTCAGTTTTTGTTTGTTTGTTTGCCAAAACTATTAGCTGGATTAAGTTCAAATTCAGTGAATAGTTTCAGTGCCCTGAAAAATATTGGGTTTTTTTGGTTTATTTGCATGAGTTTACAGCTCTAATTGTGAGCCTCTTACTCCCATTGATGAGCAGTTACTCATGTGAGTAGTCCCACTTACTTCAATAGGTGTATTGATCACCAGTGGGAGTAAGGCTTCATAGTCAGGCTAAATGATTATAGAAAATAGCTGAATGACTCAGTTCAGTCAATCAATCTGATAAGCTTTCATTTCTGATCACTTAAAATATCATTCCATAGTAAGACACAAAGCAGGTCTCATGCGTTAACATTTGTGCATCAGATGCCTTTCCAGCTGTCTTTATTTATTCTGTGGCCAAGGAGTTGAAAAAGCAGTATTGACCTGCGAACTACACTTTTTGTCAAGTTTGTTTTTTGCAGAAATTTGAGAAAAAATACTCCAAAGTCCAGCTTTGCTGTTTGAAACACTTCTCATTGTCAAAGTTATTCGTATGTCTTACTGTTTCAGTAAATGACAATGGGAGTTTGAGAGTGAACAATCTGACGTGTGAGCTTGCCTAAAGAATTAAATGTGAGTCTGTGTCTTCTTTTAATACAGTGAATATTTTTAAACATTTTGATCAGTTTCCTCTTAGTGCCATACTAATTAAAAGCCCTATTATAGTGATGTTTTAAGCAAGTCATTATTTCACAATTCATTCAGACTATTGTAATTTCCTGGGAAATCATCAACTAAAGTTCTTGAAGAAACTTGTTGAGTAAGGACATATGTGCAAGATAGATGACTAATGTGACTCATTCTAAATACATTCACAGAAACTCACTCATGCTCATTACACGGGAGACAACTTTTTAATATTTCAGATATTCCATAAACTGCTCAGTCCAAAGTCTGGCAGTTATTTGACCTATATTATTTCTGCATGTCATAACAGGAGATCATTCAAATTCATCCGTGTTTTACTCTCTATACAGCTATTTGAGCATTAGTCAGATTTTTTTAAAAACATATCTTTGGTTGATTTTGTGTCAGTTAAAAAGGAATTTGTTGAATTTGGGGTGGGGGTGTGTTAAATATGTAAAATAGGAAAGAAACACTGAGGAGGATAGGAGGATGTTTCAACAAAGCAGTACAAGTTACAAATAATGGGGAGTACAAGAAGTTCCCAAAAAATAACACTTGATTTGGATCTTGTCCTTTCCCGAGCTTTTTAAATATAACTTTTAATGTATATTATACACACAAGTTAACAAAGAACATTATTAGATGTAAGTAGCACACAGTAGATTATGGGCTGGATTCTTACTCAGGATGAATCAGAAAGAAGGCATACATTTTTAACAATGAAGGTAATTAACTATTGAAACAAACTACTAAGGGTGGTGGAGGATTCTCCATTCCTTGATGTCTTTAGATCAAGACAGGATGCCTTTCTGGAAGATATACTTTAGCCAAAAACAAGTTATTGGGTTCAACAGAGTAACTGGATTAAATTCTATGGCCTGTGTTAGACAGGAGGTCAGATTAGATGATTTAATGGTCCCTTCTGGTCTTAAAATCTGTAAATAATACCATATACTGTGAACAGTCCCATTGATTTCAGTGTGGCTGTTTCTGGAGTAAGGTACTATTTGATGTTTGTGAGGGTGGAAACATCTGGCCCTACAGTACTCTAGTTATACAGAATTTAAATTGTTTTCGTTGACCACAACATAAAATGTGTGTAAACTTCTTAGGGCAAAATATATCCCATATGGTACTTTCTTGAAGAACATGGATATGCGCACAGTGTGTGGATACCCCTGCATATGGATAACCCAGGAACGAATGATTCTGATTACACTATAATAAAAGGAGGAGCATAGAGTATAAGCGAGCTGTCTTGCTTCTGTGCCACATAAGCTGATAGGATCGTCAATGGGATGTTTTTTCACTAGGATGACCATATCTTGGTGTCTTGGATTGCATGACTGGAAATCTGGCTACTGATAGTAATCCATTTCAGATACCCTTAGAAACCCCTCAGCCACTCCCATCTCATAAGTCCCATGGAAGTGCCCTAGCTACATCCTTCCCCTTGCAGCTGCCCACCTATTTTCCCTCCCGTTTCACCAAGCTCCACTGCACCTCCCTTACCACAACTGCAGCAATGGTGACTTCAGAGATCAGCTGTCTCTGTGCTGTGCACACTTTTCTCTCTTCATGAACAGTGAATTTCTGTGCTTCCACAGTATGAATTATAGGCTATTTTCTGGATTGGAAAAATCCCAGAATCCCTCATGCAGTAGTGTCCAGAATCACTTTGCATACTGACAGGCAGCTAGACAGAGGAAAGACAGAGCCTTGTGGTGAAGGCTCTAGCCTGAGACTTGCGTTCAAGATCTTAATCTGCCACAGACTTCCTGTAAAATCGTGGGCCTCTCTGTGCCTCAGTTTCCCATATGTAAAATGGGGATAAATAGTACTTCCCTATTTCCCAGGATTGTTGTGAGGATAAGTACATTAGAGATTATGAGGTGCTCTGATAGAATGGTAATGGATGCCACACAAATACCATAGGTAGTGCATTGAGGTCGACACAAGAACAGCTGTGCCGCAAAATGAACAGTAGGGTGGTCAAGAGGATATTGGAGGTCACTGCAAGAACATTAGTGGCATAGTCATGTGGGAAGCCAGAAGAATAGGATGAAGGGGAAAGAGGGAAGAAAGTCAGGATGAGCAAAAGTGACAAGGTCTTTCAGAGCAGGGGGAAGGAGAAATGGACATATTCCTCTATCCCATCCCCTCCATTTAGTGACCCGTGACTTTTACCAATACCTGCCACCACACAGCTCCTACAACTTTGCAACTTCCCAGAGGTCAAAATCCTTCCAAATTGTCTCTTAACTGGACGTTCCACAGCTGCTTAAACCCTCCAGTGTGTACTCCCTTCCCTTACAAAATCTTAACGCAGGAATCTCAGTCTGGTACTTCCAAAACCTGATCACCTGAATTTTCACTTAAGCTGGAAACACATCGTTCAAAAGTATCAGAAGCAACAATGACAGCAGGTGCCTATAACCCATAAGAATTTGTTCCAACAGTACTTTATTCCTGTATATCCCTTAACACGTTAAACATGAACTGACATGATTTCTCCCCAACCCCAACAAATCAA